CAGGGAGAGAGAGAGAGAGAGAGAGAGAGAGAGAGAGAGAGAGAGAGAGAGAGAGAGAGAGAGAGAGAGCTGACCCCGCTCTTACCGTTGAACAAGTCAAAGAGTAGGCTCACGACAGCTGATGGGGCGCTGGAACATCGAAGCAGACGGAATTGTATTCGTCGAGACAGTTTCAATTACTTTCCGTATAACATGTTGTTCTTTTTTTCTTTTTAAATTATAGTTCTGGTCAACAACTCAAGATAATTGTAGTCGAAACTATGTGTGTTGCCATTTATTCAAGTAGTTGTGTTCACAAGCTTAAGTGAGGGAGCAACATAATTTTCTGGGACAGGACTTTCGGAAATTCCAAATCGGTGATTCCTTTCTTCTCTAGTTTTGCCTCCCTTCTTTCATACTACATGTATCGAACAGCTATCGTCCTGATCTCTCATCCTTCTTTTTTGTGTTTAATTGTTACTCCCTTGTAACACCCCTTATCTTCGGCACCCATTTGACATGATATTGTGTTGGATGAGCCTAAAAACTCTTACTAAAACTGAAACAGTTTTGCCTTCAACACGTCACAGTTCTCTCAGCCAACCATAAATAAAGTATAATTTGCTAACATTCCCTTCCTCTGGGGTGCTGTGCATCTTTTCTTCAGCTCAGTCTAGGACTTCACATGTTATAATGATTATAACAACTGTTCGCCCATCATGAATAATGATGACCTTTAACACCAAAGGAAGAAAAGAAGTTGTAGAACTTGTTCATTACAACAGTTGTTTTTTTTGTTTGGATTTTCTTTTCGAGAGGGGGGGGGGGCAAGACAATGTTCCGCCTTACACACACCAATTTTGAGAAGAAACTGCGGATAACCGTGCGTATTTCATTCGGAATGAGTGCTATCTACTCTGGATTGTATCAGGTGGAGGTAGCAGATACAACGAGCTTCAGTGTCGTATCCCTCCAGTAAATCCCCAGTACAAACACTTCTCAGACAAAAAGATGGAACCTGTTGGGAGTGTTGGTGTGTGTTTCGTACACTGTCTATCTAAGGACTAAGTCTCATAGAAAAGGGTTGGCAATACGACAGCGCTATACATGACATAGAGGCCTACTGAGTTTTGACTCTCTACGTATACCGGAGGCGTCCCAAACCCTGTTCCTCTGTCTACCAAATACAGAGCTACCTTTGTTTATCCTGGAAACAGCTTCAGCATCAAAGGACACGACCAGGAACATTTACCACTGTCTTGAGCTGCCTGGCGATCAAGCACTTTGGGAAAAAAAGGGGGGGGGGGTGAATGTTGAGTTTTGAGCAGGTTGGTGGGGGCCTTCAGTATTTTTTTTGCGCTGATTGTGAGCCCAAAGTTGTCACGTGCGCTGGAGTAAGAATCCATACATTCTAGCATGCTGGTCTAGTTATGTGACAATATGACACAGTCCCCAGCAAACAGAAGCTCACATACCAATACAATGTACCAGAACCTTTTTGGGCGTTCAACCGCGGCAGGAATCGTGAGCCATGCACACTTACACCAGTTATGGGCCTGAATGAGATCTGAAAGCCTCCTGCAACATTGCAGAGAACACGATGCTGAAGAGAGTTGGAGTCAGTATACAGCTTTGTTCCATGCTAGTATGAAGGGAAAGGCTCTGATAATACCCCATGGCTGTCGACCTTAACCTGCATGCCATCAAAGAAATTGACTCCTCAAGTTAATGAACTGCAGGGGGGAGGGGGGCATCTGAAATTTGCCATGATTTTCCATGGAGGCCTTCACGGATCATGGTGTTAAAAGAATACCTTTGTACCGTAAAAAAAAAATTATGTCAGGTATAGATTATTGCTAGATCCATGTTTCATTTACAGCATTTATGTTGTATTTGCGAGGCAGCCTACCGGGTCGGCTGTGCCTTTTCTCCGCGAAAGCCACATTGACTTTCCATCTGATCTTTCTATCTCTTTCCATCTCAAGAAAGTATGCACTCTCAAAGCACAACCAAACAAACACACACACACACACACACACACACACACACACACACACACACACACAC